GTGGGGGGGGAGCGGCCGGGGGAGCCACTCTAGCTGCTTTGCGGGGTGGTGCAGGGCTGGGGATGAGCCTACCTTGGCTCTGCTGCTCTATACCTAGGGACAGCTCTCTGCCTGCTCCCAGGGTGGGCAGGGGCTTGAGCCCACATCCCTGTGCTCCCCAGGCCGGTGCAGGCGCATATCCCTAAGGCCACTCCCCAACCCACCTGACCTTCATAGGGTCCCTTATCCTGTCTTAGCTGCCTAGTTGCTCCCATGGTGCTGCTGGTGTGTGCACTGGCCGTGTAGGGTCCAGTGGCCATGGGGGAAAGGGCACGGCTGGTTGGCACTGTGGGGATGCAGGCAGGCTGGTGCTGCGGGAGCCGGGCACATGGCGCCTGATGGCAGCTGTAAGGGACACTGCGCATTCCTTGCAGCTGCCATCAGGTCCCATCGGGCGCCCATGCCCCCATCTGTTCCTGCTTCCTAATGCAGGACCCAGCTCCTTCCCTGGGGCAGCCTCTGTTGGCCGTCCAGATGCTTCCAGGGTGAGCAGGATTTGAGCCCCCAACCCTGCACTCCTCAAGCAAACAGCCTATCCCCTAGGCCTCTCCAGAACCCACCCCACCTCCCTACCTTTACGGTGTCCCCTCCCACACTCTGAACACCTAGGCCCAATACCAGAGCCTGCACCCCAACACTTTATCCTAGCAGGGTGAGGCTTCGTAGAGAAGCAGGGGGGCCGGGAGAAGGAAGTGGGGCAAGGGTATTTGGGTTTGAGGTAGATCTTACATTGCACTTAAATTGAAAAAGTGATCTTGTGGTTACAAAGGTTGGAGACCACTGCCCTAGACAATGCCCCCACTGCACACCGGGGCCAGCCCTCTGCAGAGACGCAGCTCTGTTGGTCTGTGTCTGCAGAAATGAGGTGTCCTGTGGCCTCAGAGAGACTGGCCCATTTATTTGGGAATAAGCTTTTGTGGGTAAAAACTGCTTCATTGAATCACCCTGACAGGGTGGAAGTTTTTCCTAATGTCCAACCTAAACCTCGCTTGCTGCAGTTTAAGCCCATTGCTTCTTGTTCTAACCTCAGAGGCCAAGAAGAACAATTTTTCTCCCTCCTCCTTGTGACACCCTTTTAGGTACCTGAAAATCACTATCATGTCCGCTCTCAGTCTCCTCAGCGAGGCCCTGCCCCCAACTGGCATTAAAAGGACAAGGAAAAGTGACAAGGAGTTCTGTGGCACCTTATAGACTAACAGATGGGCTACGTCTAGACTGGCCCCTAATTCCGGAAAGGTCATGTGTGATATAGGGTTCCATAGAATTTACTGTGAAAACTAAATAATTGAATTAAAAATTTACCATCGTATAGCTGGGATATAATTTTCTGTTACATTTTACAAGACTTCTTGGTGAGGGTGACTTCTTGAATTTCTGTTGGGGCAAAAGGTTGAGTGTAATTAGGCTTCCATCTCTGCTAATTGTGCCCAAAACCAAGGACCAGATTCCATAAAAAGTTTGCTAGATATCAGTGTTACAGAAATTCATATAAACCACAAAAACAAACAAACAAAAACACGGGACCGTATTTTCACAGGTGGGAAGCTAGATACATCTTGGCTACGTCTACATTGGCCCCTTCTTCGGAAGGGGCATGCTAATTTTGAAAGTGGGAATAGGGAAATCCGTGGGGATTTAAATATCCCCCGCGGGATTTAAATAAACATGGCCACCGCTTTTTTTCCGGCTTGGGGAAAAGCCGGAAAAAAGCGTCTAGTCTGGCGCGATCCTCCGGAATAAAGCCCTTTTCAGGAGGATCTCTTATTCCTACTTTTAAATATCCCCCGCGGATTTCCCTATTCTGACTTACCTGCTTTGCATGACTTTTCCGGAATTAGGGGCCAGTCTAGACATAGCCATGGATTGGAGCATAAGCTTTCATGGGCAAAGATGCATCTGACGAAGTAGGTCTTTGCCCACAAAAGCTTATGCTCCAATACATCTGTTAGTCTATAAGGTGCCACAGGACTCCTTGTCGCTTTTGCAGATCCATACTAACACGACTACCCCTCCGCAACTTGAAAGCTGAATAAAAGATTCTGGATACTCAGCTCATGTCTATTTGGCCACCAAAAGCCGTAAGGAGGTTTTGGAAACATCCCAGCTGGGGTGGTAGGAGCTTTGTGCACAGGAGGGTCTCACGGGCCTTAAACACAGCTGGGCCTTCTCGGGGCCATCGTCACACAGACCCCATTGGCCTGAGGCCCTTTCTGTCAGTGACACGGGAGGTGGGAATCCCCCAGTCAGAGCTCAGCCCAGATAATTGTAGGGACCCATCCACTCCGTATCACAGCCCCTCAAGCATCGATTGGTCTTCCTATCGCTGTGGCCCGCGGCCGGGATCGCTCCTTTCCACAGGGGACTAACACGGCTACCCCTCTAATAAAGGACAAGGAAAGTGAGTCCTGGGGGCAATGGATGGAAGGAGAACATTGTAGATGGAGGGTGAAAGGTCTATTTGTTTCTATAATTCACTGTCTGTATTTCTCTCCTTTTGCCCCAGGAATGAGACCAAAATGGGGCTGGAGAACCACACAGTGGTAACTCATTTCATCCTCTTAGGAATCCCCAACACCGATGGCTTCGAGACCATCCTTTTCTTCACCTTCTTAGCCTGTTATCTTTGCATCCTGCTGGGCAACTTGCTCATCATCTCAGCTATCCTCGCTGACCGCCGCCTGCACACCCCCATGTACTTCTTCCTCTGCAACGTTGCTGCGCTGGACATTGGCATCTCTTCCATCAGCATCCCCAAATTGCTGGACAACCTCTGGGCCAACAGTAAAATCATCTCACTGGGCGGGTGCATGGCCCAGGTCTTCTTCTTCCACCTTCTGGCCAGCACTGAAATTCTGTTCTTCACCATCATGGCTTTTGACCGGTACATGGCCATCTGCCACCCACTGCACTACCTGCTCATCATGAATCGCAGGGTGTGCACCCTTCTAGCCACTGGCACCTGGATCGTCTGCTCCTTCGAAGCCATCATCGTCACCAGCCTGACCTTCACGCTGCCCTACTGCGGGTCCAACGTAGTGGATTATTTCGTCTGTGACATCTTCCCCGTGGCCAAGTTGGCCTGTGCAGACACGTACATCTTGGAGACAGTGATCTTTATCAATATTGGGGTGGTGCCCATGAGCTGCTTTGTCCTCATCCTCACGTCCTACATCCGGATCATCTCCTGCATCCTGAAAATGAATGCGGGGGAAGGGCGTCGCAAAGCGGCCTCCACTTGTGCCTCCCATCTGGCTGTGGTCACCATGTTCTTTGGGCCCTGTGCTTTGATATACACTCACCCAGAGATGAGCAAAGTGCTGGTGACCCCTGTGAACATTTTTGGCAATGTGGTCACGCCCATGCTGAACCCGGCCATCTACACGCTGCGCAACAAGGAGGTGAAAGCGGCTCTGAGAAAACTGGGAGGGAGTCAGAGGCCTGCAGGTTGATGTGCAGGAGATGCAGGAGTAGCATGTGAGTCTCTTTGGAAGCTCACCTATAAATACATGGGCACAGCCCCTTGGTGGCTTTTGTGGTGCATCAGAATTAATAGGAATCAGAGACTTAGACCTTGATCTTGTAGAAAATCTCTGCCTTTATGTTCATTATTATAAGGCAGGATTTCCACTGCAAGGATTCTCATGACTGGTGCGTGACTCCTCTCCAAGCAATCTGCCCCTGGCTTGAGTGGTGCACACTAGACTTGGGCAGAGGATTCAACCAGTGCTCGCAGCAGTGCCAAACAGCAAGGTGAAACCACCTCTCCCCTTGTCGAAAAACTTCCCGTGTGCGTCCCATGGCCACATGAGCTGTTCTGGCCCCAGTGTCGTACTGGGAGCTCACATTCAGCTAATTCTCCACCATGACTCCCAGATCCATTTCAGAGTTCCCAGTCATAGAATCATAGGATCCCAGGGCTGGAAGAGTCCTTGGAATGTCATCGAGTCCTGTCCCCTGCCCAAAGTAGGACCAACCCCAACTCAACCATTCCATCCAGGGGTTTGCCAAGCAGGGATTTTAAAAGCTCTAGGGATGGAGATTTTACCCCTACCCTAGGGAACCCAGTCCAGTACTTCAGCCCACTTCCTAGTGAAATAGTTTTTCTTTATATCCAATTTAGACCTTGTAGCCAGACACGAACCCCATCTTGTCCCCCCTCCCCCCAGAGAGCAAGAGAAAGGCAGTCAGCCTTTGATGCCCTGGGAACGCAGGTGTGGTGCCTGTCCCTGACTCTACCATAAACAGAAACCAGAGAGTAAATGGGCTAGCTGATGACTGGGAGGCCTCCCATCACCCTGATGGCTAGTAAAAGTAATTGACATGCCTGCACTGTCTCAGGAGAGGAATCTTCGCCCATCACATACCAGAGGTGCCCATTGTCTGCATTTTCACAGGTGTGAATTATGCTTTGCACCCTTCGTGGGAAACTTGGTGTTCAAAGCCATTTTTCCTAATTGGCCACTTGAGACCAGGAAGAAGCCTTACGTGACCCAAGGGGTATAAAAAGGGGTTTAGTTGCCCACCCCATTTGAGCTCCAATCCCCTACACCTGCTGGCAGGTATTGATTGTCTCCCGAGGTCCGTGGGACGCCCAACCTCGCACTACTTCTTCCTGAGGGATTGAGAGAAAGACGCTGGCCATGCCAAGTCTGGAACGCAGGGGTGAGAATTGTACCTGCAATGTGTTTCTTTATGTGTACACTTTAATTGTCACTCTGTTATAAGTTTAGTTACTTTATTATAGTTTCTTAAGGCAAACTGCTTCATTTCTATTGTAAACTGCCTTTGGTAAGGTGATTTAGCTATAAACTTTGGAAATAAGTGGGGTGCCCTCATTCACTTATAAATACATATATATTAAACCAAGTTTCTTTTCTTTTCTCTTTCTTTCTCCTATAAATAAGCCAGTGCGTGTCAAGCTTCTGACTTGAACCCGTGCTGCTGTACCCGAACTGAACACAAACAAAAGAACTTCAGCTGGTCATAAGGGACAGGTATAGGAAGAGCTTGGGCGTTTTGGATTGTGTCACTCCCAGGTGACAGGTCCGTTGGGGCATCTCTCAGTCTTTCCCAGACTGGCCGCTGCGAAGGGATCCTGTGTCCTAGCAGCTAAAATCTGAGGTGTAATAAGCTCTTCCTATAAACTTGGGGCGTCTAAGAGCCTGTTGGCTGCCCTCTGCAATGGGACCCCGGTCCTAGCAGTAAAGTCACAGACGTTAAACTATTTTTTGGGGCGCCCTCCAGCCTCCTAGGCTGCCCACTGCAATGAGATTTTGCGTCTCAGCAGTTGAAGACTTGGGTGTAACACACACGCACACACTGCCCTGACCATTTCGGCTGACAGC